TGAAACAGGTAAACAACAACAACAAAAAACAGTGCCCAGGGCTCTGATGTGTCTCTCACTGCTTAAAAAGGTGAGACTCTGGAGGCCTGAAGATAGATAGGGGTTGGGGAATGAGGAGACTCCTGAGTTATAGGGATTCTCACAGGGACTTTTGACATTTTGAGTGTTTAATGGATTGTTCAGAGTGTCTCCGTTACAATGAATGATCTGAATCTGTTCATAATACTTTCTTTTACAGTGTAAGATAGCTGCCTTCTGTGGGACTGAGCAATACAAGATTTCTTCGGTTCTCTTTCTGCTCCTTAGTGTGATTTCAAACTTCTCTTTGTGCAGCTAACATCTAACTATGTCTATGTGTCTGTGTTCCTATCATCATAATTGGGGAAATGGAGAGAGGAGCGCATCCCTGATCATCAAGACCACTCCCTGCACTGTCATTTTGCCACATAAGCAATGAAAACAAGAAAATGCAGCACATACATAGCAGAAAAAATAATCTAGACAATTAACATTAAGGCAATTATTGTAAATTAATTACTCATGCTCAGAAGGTTACACAAGAGACATAAAAGGTATGCAGAAAAATCAGTCATGATAGCTTGAGCTTGTAATTCCAGTTACTCAGGAGACTGAGGCAGGAGGATTGCAAGTGTAAGTTACAGCCTGAGAAAAAAACCATGTCTAAAAATAAAATAAGATCTAGGGTTACAGTGCTTGCCTAGCATGTACAAGCCCTAAGTTTGATCCTTAGTATCCAAAAATAGATAAATAAAGAGGAGAGGTTACATAAAAGATTACAATCAAATTTCTGAGGATGAAAGTGTCTGAGATGTGAAGTGGGATCAATGGAGAATAAAAATCACTGGAGAATAAAAATCCGTGAGTTTGAAAACAAAAAAACAAAATCTGTTAAAAATTACACAAAGCAAAACCTATAATGATTATTGGGTTTATAACATATTCAGGTATGTATTTAAAGATAACAGCACAAAAAAGAACAGGAAATACAACTATCAATAATTTCCATATTTTGCTGAAATTAAGTTAATATAAATCTGAAGTAGTTTTTGAGACAGTAAGTCCTAGAGCAATCATTGATAAACCTACAGTGAAAAAATTTTAAGGGAATTAACTAAGGGAATTTCCGTTACTGTAGAAAATCAGGGCTGCCACTCCCACCATAGGCCACAGCTCCATCAGAGTAGACAAGCCTGCCTCCAACTAGGACTCAAAGTGGGAGACCCACTGTGGTTTCCACAGGCCAGGCTGTTGCTGCCTGGAGTCTGGAAGTCAGGGAAGCCCAGCTGAGCCTTGGTGGTATCTGGTTTCACAGGATGACAGCTGGAGAGACATTTGCTTCAATGTCTGACCCATATCTAATTTAAATTAAATATTTAGAGGAGACTATGGACATAAAACATTAGAAATGATTCTGGATTAAGATTTGGGAGGGTATTGGATAGATGAATATTCTTATATGCAAAAAGGGTCTAGGGCAGGACAGAGTGCTTGTATAACCCCACTTCCCCCATGAAAATGTATTTGTTGAAATTATATTTCCAAAGTAACTGTGTTTGGGGACAGGGTATTTAAGAGATGATTGAGGTTAAGTATGGTCATAAGAATGGAGAGGAGGGAGGGAAGGAAGAAAGGAAGAAGGGAAATGGTGCAGCCCCCAAACAATAAAACTGGTGCCCCATAAGACAAATAAAAGATCTTCCTTCTTCTTCTTCCCCTTCTCCTTCTGTTTCTCCTCCTTCTCTCTCTCTCCATTAACCACCCCCCCCCCCAAAAAAAGGCCAGATTGTTACCAACTAGCACAATAACCCACTCTGAGAAGAAGAGATTAGGACTCAATTGTTATTGGGCAGCTGTAATACTGCCTGGGAAGAAGGAAGCCAGGCCATAATTTTCTTTGCTCCAGAAAAATTTGAAATCAAATTGGTAGGAAAAATGGGTTTTATTCAAAGCCAGCTTTGAAGGAAGAGGGATGAAATATAATTGTTTCAGGAGTTCCATGTCAGAAAAACTCTGGGACAAGCAAACTTTTTAAAAGCAGGAGTGGTACATTAGGAAGAAAGAAGTCTCACAGGTTTTACCTCCTTAGGAGTCATTGTGGCCCCAAGAAATTTTACAGGTTTTGTCTATTTCTGAGTTCCTGGGCCTTCTCATATCAAAAGGAGCCAGGACTTCCTGGGACCAGCATCTGTGCCTCATCATTGTATACGAGCTTTGTCAGGATGCCGATAGCTCCTTTTTTAAGTCCACAGGGTGAGCTTTCGTGAACTGTATGTGGAGAGCTGCACTGACATCAGTTCATTTAAAGAACTCATCTGTGCCTGATTTAGATGATGAGGCTCTGGAGTTGACACTGATTAGGTGATGAAATGAGATTTTTGGAAGTCTTGAACAGAAAGCAGTTTATTGTGCATGTGGAAGGAATATGAATAATTTGTGGTCAGAAGGATGACTATGGTGGTTTTCAGCTGATCACAAGTTCCTTGATACTCAAAAAGGGGAACTAGTTTCCTCTCCAGGAACATGGCTGGACTTATTAAATTCACTGCTAAGTGAAGAGACAAAGCAGAACCGATGGTGTGCAGCCACAGACAAAAAGACACTGGGATTTCTTGCTAGCTGTCCTCCCTCTTGCATCATTCATTCCTGGCTAAGTCATCTTCAACTGGACAGTCAACTAAAGGGAGCCCTCCATGGCCAGGAACTGAGGGCTGTGGCCAAGAGTTACAGGAATGAACTGTGAATGAGGTCCTTCCATGTCAATCAGTTTTGGTCTTGAACATTGCCCATAGAAAAGAGGCAAGATAATAAACCCTGGTACTATTAAGCTACTGTGATTTGGGGTGCTTGTTCCAAATCACTAAGTAATAAAAGTACAGGGAATGACTATGCGATCAAGGACATTTTTCTCTTCAGAAACAAATAAAGGCATCCAGAAGAAATTGGAGTGATTTATACAAATAATTGGTAGAAAAAGACTGCCAAATAACTTTAATCCACTGAAACTGCCCTTCGAAAGTCTCCTCTTGAATGATTTCACTTGTTTTCAGAATTCCATTTTAATTTTATTTCTAGCTTTATTTTTTGCACTACTTTCATAGGGGTTTTCTTAGGATTACAGTGCTCATCTTAACTTTTCAGTGTCCTCCACTTAACATTGTCTTAGTTCACATAGAAATCTTTAGACTTCTAAACTGTCCCATTGTTATGTTTAGATATTATATTAAATATATATATATATATATATATTCAGCATTCAAAGTCCCCAATAAAAAGCTCTATTTGTATTTATTAAGTAAGCATAAATGGTCAAAGAGAGCCAGGCATGGTGCTACATGACTGTAAGTCCATCCTCTTGGGAGGCTGAGGCAGGAGGATTGTAAGTTCAAAGCCAGCCTCAGCAACTTACCAAGGCCCTAAACACCTTAGTGAGACAAAGGGGCTGGGGATATGGTTCAGTGGTTAAGTGCCCTTGGGTTCAATCCCTGGAGAGAGAGAGAGAGAGAGAGAGAGAGAGAGAGAGAGAGAGAGAGAGAG